AGAATAAAATCAGACAAAAGCACTTTTGACCGCAAACATTGGTCAGAAATGCTTTTGACCGATGCTTTTGGTCAAAAGTGGTTTTGCCTGCATTGGGGTTAAGACTATCGATCAAAACTCATAATAAGTTAAGACAGTTACTGAAAGTTCCCAGAACATTCATCCAAAAGGTAATCCAACTATTTTTAAGGTATTTTTTGTCCATATAAAAGCTAATTGACATGGTACGGGACATGTAAACTATAAACAGAACTTATGTTATTGATCGTAGGTAGAAACCTTTTTATATTTTAGTCTGTGGAGGATAGATTTGTTCGCGTTTGTGCTTTTATGTAACTTAATCCATTAGCTAGTGCGTGCCAAATCTTGTAACAGTTTTTTGAACCAGTTAACGCTAACCAAATGTGCTGAGATTTTGTACACGTCTTTTTTCCTCGTGATGATACATAATAAATTATCGGCCGCCATTTTAGATCCAATATGACGGATGCTACAAATTAGTGATTCATCAATACTATAGTATGCGTTATGAAACTATGAAATGTATATCAAATGAGAGGGCTTACTAAGACAAGCATAATAAGCAATGTAACGTAATTTTTAATCCAAATGGTGGCCGCTACGAAATGGTATCAAACAGAAGGTCTTGCTGAGAGAAACGCAACAAGCAGCGTGACGTCAAGTCCAATATGATGACCGACGCAAAATGATGATCTATAAAATCCATAGCCAACCCTATGATATGGATATCAAATGAAACGGTTTGGCCAGAGGAACACAAAAATCAAAGAGGTGTCACTTTAAATCCAATATGGCGATGGGTGCAAAATGACAATCTATAATTTCTATAACCAACCTTGTGATACGGATATCATAGCTTGATGAGACAAACTTTATTAGCAATGTGACGTCATTAAAAGTCCAATATGGCGGCCGCTGCGACCAAGAACGTCAGTCAAAAGCAATTTTGACTGCTAAGATCAGTCAAAAGTGGTTTTGACCAAGAACGGCATACTTTTGACCGATTATGAGTTTTGACTGCAACATATATATTGCAAAACAGAACATGGAAGAATAGCGTAGATATTATCTTAAGCGAATTATGATGGTGGTTCAATGTTTGTAACTATTCGACATGCTAAAACTAATTCGCATACTTTTACGAAGAGCTCTAATCTATATTATTTCGAAACAGAAAATAAACATACACGTGTTGCTCCTATTCATAACTTAATTATACAGGGTGGCGCATCGAAAACGAAACAGACGCATTTACTGGCAGATCATTTTTTTTTGGAAAAAACGCTCAGACTCGTCGATTTTGTTTTCGAGGGGCACACAAGTTTGGCAAAAATCACGTTAACACGTGCAGCTCCCTGGGCGGGGGTGATACCAACCCTAAAATCTTAAAAGGATAGGGGGTCGAGTGATACCTTATTTTAAAGGTCTTCCAGTTCCCTTTATAATGATGTAAAATACATGAGCTTCAGTTCAGTAGTATTGAAGATTTATTGATTTAAAGCTTAAAGTAGACTTTAATAGGTACATCAGATTAGTTTGTACTGCTTTCAGAAGAAATTTGACTAAAAGAATTCACTTAAGTAAATGCTTTTCTTCACTACGCCCACGGTTTGTTGTTGAAAATAGTTATTGGAGCGCTTTTTTGTGGCAAAAAAGTTATTTCTTAAAGAAAGATAAGGAAATATGTTGTACTTATTTTAAATAGGAATTTAGTACATAGTTTGCGATTGATATGGCCAAACTTTGTTGCTAAAATAACTTGTAACCCTTTATTACATAAATTAACCATTGTATTTCCACAGCAGAAAGAGTTAAATTATCGAAATATTTTTCGGAAATAATCAGTGCGCTAATAGAACAGCAGAAAACTTTAATGAGCGACATGAGAACAGTAACGTGCATCGAAAATATGTTCTAGAACTTGTAGCTAAATTTCGGGAAACTGGGTCAGTCGCCAATAAAAAACGCAACATTGAAAATCCCATAAGGAACGAAGCAATAGAAGTGGGGGTTTTAGGGGAAGTTTATCCTAGATCCTACGTTAAGCACCCGCAAATTGGAGAATTGTATGTGGTGTTAGTCGACGTACAAGAGCTTAATGAAGACGATTTGGATCGGCGATTACAATTTTGTGAAGATACGGATGAACGGATTATAAACGATGAACATTTTCTTCTTATTTGGAATTACTGGAAGACGCCATAGATCCTGCATTAACAGCCATAATTGAAAATCAGAATGATCGGCGCTATATTGCGAACAGGTTGATGTTCCAACAGGATGGTGTCCCACCACATCACGCATTACGTGTTCGGCAATAATTAGATCAGACGTTTCCAGATCGATGGATGGGTAGAAGAGGAGCCATTGAATGGCCCCCAATATCGCCAGATTTATCACCTTTGGATTTCTTTATGTGGGGTCATTTAAAAAGCAAAATCTATGCTACTCAGCCAACATCATTAGAAGACCTGCGACAAAGAATTGTGAATGAGTGCCTTCAAATTACTCCTCAAATATTGCAAAATGTGCGGCAACGTTTTGAGCAAAATCTTTATTATTGCATGGAGAGTCATGGTGGACCTTTTTGAACATTTACTTGTCTAACGGGTCAGTTAATTCTTCATTTTTAAATTAGTTTGCTGCCAAATGTATTGATCTCCACTAGTGATGATGTATTAGTTTTATTTAAGCTTTAAATCAATAAATCTTCAAAACTACTGAACTGAAGTACATTAATTTTATATCATTATAAAGGGAATTGAAAGACCTTTGAAATGAGGTATCACTCGACCCCCCTTTCCATTTAAGATTTTGGGGGTGGTGTCACCCCCGCTTAGGGGGCTGCACGTGCTAACGTGATTTTTTGCCAAACTTGTGTCCCCCTCGAAAACAAAATCGAGGGGTCTGAGCGTTTTTAAAAAAAATTGAGCTGCCAGTAAATGGGTCTGTTTCGTTTTCGATGCGCCACCCTGTATATGAAGTTCTAATTCTGTGGCAATAAGGTTATATAATAAATTGAATAAGACCATCAGGGATATCGAACATTTTACATAATGCAATATGTGTGTTGTTGTGACCTTCCTATGCTTTGTTTGATCCTACCGCGATAACATATTATTTAATTATTTTATTTTTTTCTTCTGGAAGCAAAACCAGTTAAGCAGACTTCAAAAGAGGTAGCCGAAGCGTCAGTAAGATTCATTTTCCACCACATATCTGGTTGTTGAAATTATACGAATTTCGTACCTATATCCAGTAGTGAACACAATCACAATATTTGCGGTCAGTCTGATTGTAACGTATACATTTATCTATCCAGTACGATGCTGCTTGCCTGAGGGTCCCTGCAATTCTGGTTTTGTGTAGGGATAATCAATTACCAAGCGGGATGCAACACAGACAAAACACACCCGTTTCCGGTGGGACGTGACGAGAAAGCTGCTTTGTTTGGATACGCTCGTCAGATTCTTCGTTCGAACTAATTGATAGATTAATTGAAAAGATTTATTTGATTTTTTGTGAAGGGTGGGTCATCAGTTGCTTTATTAAGTTGGTATTATTCTGACAGTTGGTAACACTTCCAGGTTCGACATATTGATAGATATAATGTGTGAAACTTCTGCTGTGAGCAACGGATCGTTTTAGTCTTGAACAAAGGTGGGAAATATTGAAACACTATTTTCAAAGTGAGTGCTGTGTTGCAGAAGCTGTGCGAAAATTAAGAAGACTATTTGGTCGGAATGAAGCTCCGTCCGCGACTGGTATACGAAAATTCGTGAAGAAGGTTAGTGAAGCTGGCCTGCTTGTGGACAACAGAAGGTATGCACGTGTTCGACCCGGACGTACAGCCGAAAACATTGCTGCTGTTGCCCAGAGTGTGCGTGAAAACGCAAGAATGTCAACTCGTCACAAACCACAAGTGGGCATCAGTCGTACTTCTGTGCGGAGAATATTGCACAATGACCTGGAATTATGACCTTACAAGGTGCAACTTGTGCAAGGGTTGGAACAAAATGACCATCCGCTTCGATATCGTTTCTCCGTGTGGGCTCTGAATCAATTGGAAACGGACGTCAATTTTGGTCGCCAAATCATCTTATCGGACGAAGCCCATTTCCATCTGGGAGGTTACGTTAACAAGCAGAACCGTAGGATTTGAGGTTCTGAAAATCCACATGCCATCATAGAAAAACCAACGCTTCCAAAAAGTGTAACTGTTTGGTGTGACATTTGGAGTGGTGGGATTATTGGTCCCTACTTGTTTCAAGATGAAGATGGTAACATCGTGACGGTAAACGGAGAACACTATAGAGATATGTTGAGGAGTTTTTTTGTGGCCACTATCAGATGACATGCACTTGCACAATCGATCTTTTACACACTAAGTTCGGTCATCGCGTTATCAGATGTTTTGGAGACCTTTATTGGCCAGCCCGCAGCTGTGATTTGACGCCCATGGATTACTTCCTATGTGGTACTGTTAAGGACCGCTGTTACACTAAGGATTCTCAAACAATTGATGTTCTTAAGGACAAGGAAAATATCCGTCGAGCTATTGAAGAAATAGACCCACAAACTAACGAAAATGTGTTTCAAAATTGCAGCGGGAGCCATTTAACTGAAATTGTTTTTCATAAATAATCGGAAGGTAAATTCTTTTGAATAAAGTATCGAGTGTTACATATTATAAAAAAGAAGAAGAAAACAACTGATGGCCCACCCTTTATAAGCAAGTTGATCTATGTTTTTGTATTGGTCTCTGATGACATCTCGACAGAAAATCGATTTTATTAATTCCTTACGGACAAGTTTATCTTTCTATTATAAAATTGTTCAATTTATAGGGGGTCACTGCGCCGGTTACCCGGCCATTCCCAGCTTTCGACCATTTTCAGTAAATTTGGTCTAGAACAAGAAAGACACGCATATAATTGCTTCTCTAAGATTAACCCTGTTTTCGACCATGGTTCCCCCACCTAGTCAAATATTTTCAGCAGCGTAGTAATCAAGGTAACCTTTCCCTATGAGCATAGAACAGTAAGGAGCTAGCTGCAACACGTGGTACTTTTGATAGAAAATCGTTAGTGCAATGTGCTATCGGAAATAAGCGGTAAGAATTTAAATATTATTTGTTCCGCATTCCTTTTATAATTCAACGATACTGCCAATTATACATTTTAAAAAAATATGGCTTAAACTCGTTGTCAAACCCATTTTTAATGTAAAATAGGGTGGTCGGATAATAGGAAATGAAAATCATTGCTCTCCCTTTTTTCGACGGGCTGGTCGAAAACAGGGTAATTGAGAATATGTTTTTTGTATCTTTTCCCATTTTATGTATTTTAAAGATGATGTTTCACTCTGGTATATATTAACTGTCTATACGTATACTGAATTTTTAGTCCAGTTGTCGACCATGAATATGACGTCCCTTCGTTTTATTTTAAGGACGTGGTCGAGATTAAGCCTGCTTCCGACCACCTGCTTATTACCCTGTATTCGGTTCTAAAACAAACATGTATTCACAGAAATGCCATCTAGGAAGGAAGAGAAATTGAAGAAATTAAAAATAATAAAACTTAGAGAAAAAATACATTTTTTTGAATATCCAGAAGATGTCCTTCAAAAAGCACTGACTGAAATTCAGGCGGGAAATTTAAGCATTAATAAAGCTAGTCAACAATTCAATGTTGCTAAAACTAAAATCATAGATCGAATGAAGGGGAGATCAACCGGGAATAAACAAAAAAATGATCCTGAGCATCTTCTTGGTTATAATGTTGAAAATAAGCTAAACGGATGGGTGATAAACATTGCCCAATGTGGATTTCCTCTAAAAAAGACAGACCTTTTAGATACCGTTGAGAAAGTGGCAAAGGATTTAGGGAAAGACAAATTGTTTAAGGACGGAATACGGACAAAAGTGGTATCTCAATTTTTTGAAACGTCACCCAGAACTCAGTTTGAGAGAAGCTGAAAGTGTAAATAAAGCACGCGCAATTATTACTGAACAATATGTACGAGCATGGTTTCGAGATTTAAAGGAATATTTAAGATCTAATGATTTGAATGAAATTATGGAGAATCCAAGAAGAACTTTCAACACTGATGAGTCTCGTTTTTCATTCATTGGCGCCCAGGGGTTACAAAAATCTGTACAATATAAAATTGGACCAAGAAAAAGATAATATAACAATTCTTATAACATTTTCTGCAGATGAGAAAATAGCACCTCCATTAGTTGTATTTCCTTATACTAGACCACCCAGAGTCCTAGTAGAAAATATGCCTGATCAGTGGATTCTGGGAAGGTCGGATAGTGGTTGGATGAAAGGTGACGTATTTTTTGAGTATATCGCGAATGATTTCAACAAGTGGCTAGAAGAAAATCAAATTCCAAAGCCAATTATTCTATTCTTGGATGGGCATAGGTCACACATGACTTTGCCTCTGAGTGAGTTCTGCCGAAAAATTCAATAAGTTCTTCACCAACCTTTGAATCGACTCAAAAAACCAGCAAATTATTATACATTCGCAAGTGATTATTAAACCTGACGAGTTTTCTCAGTTGGCGTCAACAAGCAGCAACCAAATTAAAATAGCATTGGAAGCATCGTCTGAAGCTAATAAATTACCATCAACTAGACCGATTGAGCAACAGACTTCATAACAAAATGAAGAAACATCTTTTGAGCGTCATGTGAAGTACCCAGAAGTGACAGAAAAAGGAAGCAAAAAAAAAGAAAAATATCCAAGTGCCATATCTTCACCTGCATGGAGGTTGCATTACAATGAAAAAGCTAATGCAAAAAAAAGAAAACTCGAGGAATCTAAATCAAGATGGGAAGAAAAATTAAAAGCTAAAGAAGAACAAAAAAATAAAATAAAAAAGAGTGGACGACAATATAAAAAAGTACAGCGTGAAACCAGTGAAGAAATAAGCGAAGATATACAGGCAAGTAAAAGTGAGCCAATTAAGTGTTCCAGTTGCAATGAAGACCTGATCAGTGATATCAAGGATGATGATGAGAAAAACATTGGATGTGATAAATGTCATAGATGGCACCATATGAAATGCACAGGATTCTACGGAATGTCATATGAAGAAGCATCTACCAAAGATTATGTTTGTTTTATTTGTTCCTAATTAATAATTTTATTTTAGTTTGAGTTTTTGTTTGTTTAAAAGCTTTTCAATGAGGTTTGTTATATTTCTTATTTATTCTATGAAATAAATTTTATTTTTTACCATGTTTTACATTTTTTCTAACTTTGTGTCAATAAACTATCTACCTAGTCATAAGTAAACTCTGGACAGAAACTGATCAGTTTCTCTAAAACTGTGGTCGAAAACCGATCGGCTTCTCGATCATAGTGGTCGAAAATCGGCACGCATATGGTCGAGATCAAGAAGTAGGTGGTCGAAAATAGGTGAAAATTCATATTTTATTTAATTTCATTACGTAAAAGTCTCAGGTGGTCTATTTAAAATAATTCGTTTAGTTTATACTTAGACAGAGCTTCAAGCTTTCTTATGATGACAAACTGATTCAAGGCAAATTAGTTTTACGGAATTGTATGGTCTTTGAAGTTGAAGCTTAGGTTAAATGGTCGAAAACCGACGCAGTGACCCTAAGATAGAATTGAATTATTGGTAGTCAATATAAAATGATCTTCCAATGTTATGTCAGTATGTTATCATTAGTATTACGCAGCCGGTCATCATAGGAAGTGTATCGTAAATGCCAACACTGGCTTGATGAGGCATGTCGAAAGGACTAATAAAGCGATTCATTCTATAACTTGACTCCCTATCTCCCGATTTGCCAAATCACACGTTCGGACCGTTAATAATCTTGAATAAGGTGTACTGACCAGCAGGAGTATTACGCATCTTGAAAAGTGACATTATGCCGGATTTTTTAGGTTTGAGACATGATGTACGTTTTTCTACAAGAGGTTGTACCCTTGTTGTGTACTCGTGCCGTAACTGCACGTGTTGCTAAGCTGTAAGTTGTGTACTATGTGTGGAAGGAAACGGCAGTTGATAGGTGCACAGTGACGATTTGTGTGCTGATAATCTGTGTTGATTATAATTACATTGGTCTATTGACTCAAATACACTTACTTGAGTTGCATGCAAAGCTGAAAATTAGTTGCGCATTCGCTTTTTCTTACTGAACCTGGAAACCACATGCAAATTTGCTGAATTTAAAAAAAGTGAGCGATAAGAAAAGAAAATCCCTGGTTGGTGAAGTATTTTAAAACTAACAGGTACATACAGGAACATTTATAAAACGTAAAAAAGTTATTACATTTCACAAAAACTGCATTTTCACCGATTTTTCTCATGTTTTAACATTTTAAAGGTAGGATACCATGTGCCATAACTTGTTTATTCCGTTTGCCAGGTATTCCTTTCCCTACTTAAAATGCTACAAATTGAAGAAAATATGCGAAAATCCGGTTTGGACCCTGGAAGAATGCACAAAAATACATATTATGTAGGTTGAGTTTTTGACTCAACCAACTTATAGTTAGTTTCCTACTTTTAAAATGATGAGGAGAATATAACTTATAGTTAGTTTCCTACTTTTAAAATGATGAGGAGAATTTTTGAAAATGTGCTTTTATGATTTTTGCTAAGTTTCCGGGCAAAGTGTGTGTTTCTCATGATTTTGTCAGTGGATTTGAAAAAAACGCAATAATGCACCTAAATAAGGCAGAAATTGCAAAATTTCCATTGCCTAACTAAAAATTCAAAAAAAAACAAACCATAAGCATTCTTTAAACGTTTCAGTTCCACAAATCTATAAAAATTATACTTAACAAAGCAGCATTGGTATTTTTCTTTGGGCAAAATTGCGCCCGTAGAAAATATCTTCGATGAAGCACGTTTTTGAGGTTAAGGGTCCCTAGGAGCGATCTATAGATCTGAAAAATTGGATGGATATCACCCAATGTACCCAATCCCCATGAAGAAGTGGAGGCTCACGGCGAACTGTCACGATATGAATTTAGTATGCTAAGTTCCTTACAAAATTAAGCAGTGTTAGACGGCATTTAGTGCATGATTTTGTGTGAACTTTAGTATCCGATCGCAAGATATCCATCGTAATTGCCCACAATGCCAACGCGGGTGTTCCCCAGAGATGGGTTTTGACCCCTAAATATATACATATCAACCACCTCCTTTCCTGTACGGTTAAATCGATCCACGGCTTTGCTGATGACAGCACTTTAGATTCAGGAAAAGAAGACTAGCAGTACTGTACCTACTAGCGTAAAAAGATAGGCTATTTGTTTAGGGCTTAGAAGTGCTTTTCATGAAATTAAGAATTAAATTCAGTAGCACACTTTTTTCGTTCAAATTTGTAACAGGTGTATGTATAAAATTTCGTTTCATGCAGTTGGTCTTAAGGTCGATGCACAGCAGACATTGCATCATGCTAAAAATCATTTATAATAACGTTTATTTGACTGTACAATAAATGTACAATAACCGTAAAAGAAGACATAACACGGGACTTTCACATAATCAATTTAAGTTGTTTTAGATAATATGATTAATAAGTTATTGCCGAAAATGATATGTAAAGCCTGTTTTAGCTTAGATAAAAATTGCGACAAGCACACTAGAAGTTTGGAGGGTTTAGGGAGTAGCACCCATGTTGTACGACTATTAGTATACAATTTAAACAACTAGCAAGGCAAGTTTTGAAGATTTCATTTTTTATAAGATTACATTTTCTAGATAGCTTTCCCATTAAAATAAAATTATGAACATAAATTTCAATTCCTGGAGATTTTCATGGAGGTATTTTTATCACCGCATTCTAGACTGTACGGCTTAATTGAATAAAAATAACTTGGTGGGAAGGACATCACGGAAATTCAATTTGAAGCTCGTACACCGGAAAGCTCAGGCGTGCTCGAGATACGGAAGTAGCAACTTTTATTGTGACTTTCCGTTCTACTTTCAAGAACATCCAAGCACTTCTTCAACCCCTATTAATCATTACCTTTACGAACCTCTTTGTTTTCTGAAAAAAATCAATTCGCTTCCTCGTGGATTCGTTGGAATGGAACAAATTTTATCGCAAAGTTTCTTACGGAATAGAATACGAAGCTCGCATATGCGCTCCATGCCTTTTGAGGTAGTTTTTTTGGGCAGATCTGGTTTTTATAGAGTGAAAAGGTTTTATGACCGTTCTCGGGGAAGCTGGAAAGAGTTGTTCGATTGCCCTTTCCCGCCCGAAGTAAGTAGTTGGCGTTTCTACTTTATTTCCTGGTACATATCAGTCCTCTTTATGTATTCACGAAAATCTAGTACGCATTTTCTTTACATTGAGGCAGCGACGGTGATAGAAATCAAGCGCAACGTTATAAAAGACGTGCCAGAACGCTACCTGTCGAGAAAATACTTCGACCATTAGTGGAATGAGTTCATTCACGCTCCGATCACTAAAAATCGTGCATCGATTGACAAGCTCCCAATGGTTGTATGGTTTGTTTTGTTTTGTACAAAATTCAGTCGGTTTTCAAAATAAATTCAAAGAAAAGTCCATCTTTGCAATAGATGCCTTGGAAAGCAATAAAAATGACAAACAGAAATTATAACTACAGGCACTCCCAATGATTGCATCGACTTGATTTTTTAATTGGATTGTACAAAATTCAATCAGCTTTTATAAACCTCTGAAAATAGAAATCTTAGAGAGCAATAAAAATGACTAAGAGAAATTGTAACTTTTACTTTACAACCCTGAAACTTTTTTATGGGTAATTCCAATTAAAAAGCTTAGTTGACAGAAATCCTAAAGAAATGAAGGATGACTAGCTTCACTCTTCAAGGTCCAACTAAGTAATCGAAACTTACAGTTCTCTGAATCTGCAGAAAATTTTGGTTTTGCTTTTGACACAAAGTTAGGGTTCATCGAATATGTCAAAAGTATTTCGCAGAAAACTTATATAAGGCTACGTACTTACAAATGAACGTCTACTAAATTTCCAAATAAGGATA